TCTGGCAAGGTTTTGGTGAAACAGTACCAATGACACACTGATATCCGCAAGGTAAAATTCAACTCTTTTGAAAATTCATTTGATTATGTACATAAAGATCCACATGTATATTTATAGCTTTAAAAAAAGCGTAATCTCACTTTTATAATTTATTCTAGGAAAATAACCCACAAAGGAAAAACCTCTCCACATAAAAGCAGAAAGAGGGGCTGGCCTGGTGGCACAGCAGTTAAGATCGCACTTTCCACTTCTCGGTGACCCGGGGTTCGCTGGTTCTGGTCCCAGGTGCGGACATGGCACCCCTTGGCAAAAGCTATGCTGTGGTAGGCATCCCACATATAAGGTAGAGAAGGATGGGCATGGATGTTAGCTCAGGGCGAGCCTTCCTCAGCAAAAAGAGGAGGATTGGCAGTAGTTAGCTCAGGGCTAAACTTCCTCCAAAAAAAAAAAGGAAAGAGCCCAAATATCCAACAAGGGGAGGGGCTAAAAAAACCTGTATTTCCACTCTGGAATATTATGTGGCCATTAAGAATTATATATAATCAATATACAATCTATAAGGCTAGCATAGTAACATGTAAAAATGTGTGGTATATTAATTAAAACAACATTGAAGAGTTTATGTCACTATGATTTCAACTCTGTAAAAGTATGTGGACAATGACTGGATGTGTCTGAAATGTTCTAGCATGAGCTATGATTTATTCATACACTAAAATACAGGAGTGAAAATGAGTAACCTACAGCTACTCCTATCACAAGGAAGAATCTTGCAATTATAAGGTTGAGGGGGAAAAAGTTAGAAAAGGATATACAAGATACAATAAAAAAAGATATGCAAAACAATATTATGCATTGTTTAGAGATACACATGTGTGCAGGAAATAAAGAAATGCATGGTAAAAGTGAACACTAGATTCAGGATAATGGTTACCATTGGGTGGAGGGGAGGAAGTGCAACCGAAGAGGGGCCACGGGGGCTTGAACTATATTCATATTTTATTTCTTAACCCGGGTGGTAGGTACCTGCATATTTGTTATATTTGTGTTTACACAGTTTGATGTGAAATATTTGGAATAAGTAATCTTTAAGAGAGCATCACAGCCCTTACATACGTGGAGATAGGAAATAAGGTCTAACCAGACCTCCCCACTTCCGGGTGCGTGAGGGCTAACAGCAGGTGCAGCGGCATGCTCTCCTCTCCCCAGCTCTCCTTGCCCATGGGGCCTGCCCACGTGTGCTGGAGCACACGGCGTACAGGCACACCCACAGGAGTTGTGATGGGCCTTGCCAAGCATCTCGAAGAAGCAGGCTCCAAGGGCAGGGCTGAGTTAGGCTGAGGAAGAGCCCATGTCTGGCCTTGTCCACAGCAACATACGCTTGATTGTAGCAGAGGAGGAAGTCCTCTTGGAAAGCTGCTCACCCGTGCTGTGTGGACGACAGGCACCAAGGCAGAGAAGCCAGCCAGTTGCTGGTGCTGAATGAGATTCACGCAGTCCAGGAGGGACTGCTCAGTCATGAAGTCCTCCAGAGGAAGATTTCCCAGGTTGAATCTCCTCTGAAGTCCCCCTGTATTCTAGATTTGTGGACATAGTTTCAAGTTAATAATATGTTAACTTGCTCCAGTATATTATGAGGCACTGCAATCGAAGTGACTAAAGAAAATGAGGTGAACACATCTTGTGTTAGTTTCCTATTGCTGCTGTAACAAATTAGCACAAACTTAGTGGCTTAAAACAACACAAAAACATCATCTTACAGTCAGTAGGTTAGAAGTCTTATGGGGGTCTCACTCCACTAAAGTGTCAGCAAGACGATGTTCCTTTCTGAAGGCTTGAGGGGAGTCTTTCCAGCTCCTAAAGGATGCCCACATTCCTTGGCTTGTTGTTCCCTTCCCTGACCTTCAAAGCCAGCCATATTGCAACTCTGACATCCTTTAGTAGTCACCTCTCTCTCTCATGTGGCTGGGAAAATTTCTCCACTTTTATGGATACATGTGATTAGATTGGGCCCATCCTGATAATCTAGAATAGTCTCTTTCCGCATTTCAAGGTCCTTGATTTAATCACATCTGCAAAGTCCCTTTTGCCATAATTGCCTAGATGCCTTGTTTTATCAAGGGATGCAAAGTCTCTCTTGCCATGTTCCAGGACTAGGGTGTGGATATCTTTGGGGGGCCATTGTTATGCCCATCACACACCTCTAAGAAGATCAGCGAGGCCCCATGACTTGAGGTGCAAGTGGCCTGGCCATAGAGCCAGGGTGTTTGGCACTCTCTAGTTCATAATTCCAGGTTTCCTAAGAAGCTTTTGCTTGCATTAACACTTTTTCTCTATCTTCCATAACACTAGGTAAAGACTATCTGACCACATCCCTGACTCGGAGATACCTTATCAAGAGCTTCCAGGACCAGGAGACATTTTCCACTTGACAGTTAAGCACTTGCTAGAACCAGCCAGAAGGCAAAGCTGGGGTCAAGGACCCTGTCTCAGTGGAGAGGAGGTCAGGGGGTGAATGGAGCAGACAGCAGGATCAGAATCGTGAAGAAGAACCAAAGGCTAGGGGTCAGACGGACCACAAGAGAAGCACATGACAAAGCATCAGAGGAGGTGTGAGTCATCAAATTTAACTCCAGCAGACCAAGTCTTGCTGGCCCAGAGTTCCTTAGAGAATGAGGAGTGAGCCTACTGGAGCATACTTCTGCATTTCAAAAACAAAGAACAAAAACAAAACCCTTTTTATCTTGGAAAATTTCAAACACATACAAAAGTACAGAGAGTAGTAAAATGAACCTCTATGTGCCCATCACCTAACTTCAACAATTATTAACATTTTTCCATTATATTTTCATCTGTCTCCAACCTCTCCCCACTCCACTCTCACTCTGCCACCTATTTATTTTAAAGCAAACCTAGTCATCGTATGAATTCACTCATAAATACTTTTCAATATGTATCACTAACAGACAAGGGCTTTTAAAAACACAGTGATACCACTATCACATCTGTTATAATTAACAATAATTTCTTAATATTATCTAATACCCAGACTGTGTTCAGTTTTCTGCTATTATCTCACAAATGTCTTTTCATAGTGGGTTCGTTGCAATCAGGATCTACACAGGTTTCACACACTGCATTTGGTTGAGTTGTCTCTTAAGTCTCTAACCTCTTTTACTCTGCAACAGCTGTGCCTCTCCTCTCTCCCTTTTCTCATGCCAATTGTTTACTTATTAGAATTTTTCACATTCTGGATTTTGTTATCATGGTGTCATTTAATATGTTTCTTTATCCATCGTCACTTGGTAGTCAGGTCCAGAAGCCTGCTTTCAGATCCAGTTGTTCTGATGAGAAGACTTTATAAATAGCGCTGCGTGTGTCCTCCTGCATCACGTGAGGGTGCACAGGTCTGCCTGTCTCACCTTTAGTGGGGCTGAGATTGATCAGCTGGCTCAGAGGTTTGTCAATCTGACCCATTCATTAGAAGTTCCCTATCAGTCTTGAACTTAAAGGTTTTACAAGGAATTACGATAATTCTCTAGATTGCTTATTTTCTTCAGGGATGCAAAATATAATTTTCTAAGTGTATCTTTTCTTCTGCTTTTAAAAGCTTACATTCTTCAGTGAAGAACTCTCCCTCTTCAATTATTTGGCTTCTCTGAGATAAAGTTTGTACAGGGCAGACTGTAGCACGTTTTGCAAGCACCATGGTGTGTCTGACACACTTTCATTTGTGTCCTTGTTCTCATTCCAGCTTCCCACTGCTAGGGGGATTAAGGTCCATTTTCATGGCCGTTACCCCCAGGCCAGGAGGCATAGAAGCTGATGAGGAATGATGGATTTATTGCGTGCTCTCCTCTTTTCTCCCTAGGCTCAAATTTTACTGGTCTACAAGGTCCAACTCTCATCCCCTTCACAAAGTCTTCCACGAGTCTCCCGCTTGGATGCCCTCTGTTCTTCCTCTGAATTCCAGTCACTTGACAAGCGTTCCCTCTGTTAGATGCTTGTCCCCGTGTCTCTTTTTTAAAAACTTTTCCTTGATTCCTCATAAATAGTTATTTATGTATTTTATCTTCTTTTCTACATTCCTTGGAAGCAGGGCTTATCCGTGATCTAGCTTTCTGTCTCCATAGTGACTAGCATTGCTTAACCTTTCATGGGAAGTCAATAATTACTTATTTAATGAAAAAAGATTAATGAATTAGAGCCCTCACAGCATTGGATTTTTGTTTTTCCTCTTAAACAGAGGAATGCCAATTTTTAATAATTTAGAAATATGATGATAGACTTCTCTAACTATTAAAAAATAAATTATGTTAAGTGATCTCTTTTTCATTATAGTGGGATGCAGTTGGATTGTAACTTTCTAGACACTAAGATATTTTCATTTTCTTCTACCATATTTTTCCTGTTTTATCTGCCTTCATCTTTTCCAGCTTTATTGAGATATAATTGACATATAACACTGTGTAAGTTTAAGATATATAATGTGTTGATTTGATACACTTATATATTGCAAAAGGATAACCACCATAGTATTAGCTGACAACTCCATCACCCACATAATTGCCATTTCTTTTTTGTGGTGATGCCTTTATCTTTAGATGCCATCTAAAGTAAACTATGAGTGCTATTTCCCAAAGCACCCCAATCATGGTTAATGTAAACATCTATTGCTATGAGAATTGTGGCAGCACATGCAACTATACAAATGTACTTCATTCACCATGAAAAGTAGCACATAAGTTTTTATTTCTGCATTTTGAAAGAAAAAAGTTTGATTAGTCTAAACAGAAATCAGGTGGGACAATATTCAAAATTTCAAAACCTGAAAATGCAAACTTCAATTCTCTGTTTTTGTGGATGAATAATACTGCCACTATGCCAGTGTGTGACAATTTAATAAGCCAATTTTTTGAAGGTTGATAATTTCTTAAACTTGGTAATAAAATTATGTTGCATATAAAAATGATAGCAAAGCAACAAAAGTTCTTTCTTACCAGGAAATCAAGCTCTTCATTTAGATTGTGGTACTTATCCAGTTTGGCTCCCAATAAGAGAGGTACATCTCTGACCTTCTTGGCTTCATTTGAATCAAAGTCTGTAACCTGAGATTAAATATATTTGTGCTCACTTCCAATACTTTCACACTCCTTGGAAGATTTGACAATAAATACTTTATTAGTTTATCAAAGACATCTTCAGTGGCTAGAATAATAGAAGTGTAGAACTTAAAGCCAAAAAATTTCAACAAATTTATCAAAAGACCATAAGTATCTGAAGTTGTATTTTTGTATGTTAAAGACAGTACACAGTAAATGTGAAACTCACCTCAATAACCTGATCTTGAAATGCTTTTTCGTTAGCAATTAACTCTCTAAAAGTTGTGATTCTGTCTTTATGTTTCAGTAGCTAGAAAAAAAAAAGCATTTTACATTTCAGAGAAGGAGAGGAAATACAACTACATTTTATACCATTTACAATAAAATCATCAAACCGTGCACAGTCTAATCTCTGGTCTCCAAAGGGTCTACTGTTTCATAGCTCGTGTGCAGAAAAGAGTTCCCCAGCAAGCCTGGGACTGCCCTCCTTGGAAAGGCCTGCTAGCGAGGCTGCCCCCTGAGTGGCATCTGGGGACCTGGATTGTGGGAGCGTTTCCATCATCCCTGATGTGAATGGCTCACTATGCTCACCTATTTGTACAGAGAATGCGGTTAATGCTGAACACCTCTTTCCTTCTGGAGCGTCTGGTATTTTGGTACTTGCTAGGCAGGAGGTGCCTCTGTGAACAGCTCCCAGTAAAAACCTTAGGCACTGAGTCTCTAACGAGCTTCCCTGGTAGATGACACTTCACAGGCATTGTCACAAGTCATTGTCCTGTGTGACTCCACTGGACAAGACTCTGGGAAGCTTGAGCCTGGTTTCCTCTGGACTTTGCCCCATGCACCTGTCCCCTCTGCTGATTTTGCTCTGTCCTCTCACTGTTGTCCCCCATAGCTGTGAGTACGACTGTATGCTGAATCCACCGGTCCTAGCAAACCATCAAACCTGAGGGTGGGCTTGGGATCCCCAGGAAGCTTATCCTAATATTCAACTGTTTTTACAGGCAGGCTATTAAAATTCTTCTTTAAAGAAAAAAATTAGCCAAGATTTTCTGGATGCAATTTATAATCATTTCTCATTTGTTTTTTCAGTATAACAATAAATCTTAGTATTCAGTATATGAACTTTTCCAAATATCAGTGAGGTAAAAGTGTACTGCACAGAATATTTTTTTAGTATGAAAAATTTCCAATATTTTTTAAAATAGAGAAAAAAACTTAATGACCCCACCATGCAACTATCATCCAGCTTCAACTATTAACAGCTAATGGCCAATCTTGTATCATTTATATCCCCAACCTCTTCCTCCTCCCTCATTCCCCTTCACTGAATCAAATCACAGACATCACATCATGTCATCTGCCAATATTTCTGCAATTACACAGAAATTTACCAAAAGAACATAAATATCTGAAATCGCATTTTTGTAACCTCCTGCTCCAACCTGAACTGGGCCTATTTTTGAAGGTTGGTTTAAGAAGTGGAGGCCAGTGGGTTTTCTGCATGTCTATTTATTCCCTGATGTGTTTCTCCACAGGTTGGCTAGGAGACAAAGAGATTCCCCAGAACACTCGCAACTAATTTTCTGTCCACCTCAGTTCAGAGGAGTAATTTCCTGATGGGCTAGGACTGAATTTGTTACAACAATCCAAGATCCCAGATTTGAATGTTTTTATTCCTTTAGCCAGATTAATCTGTCACTTCTTTATTCCTCTCAGATTAAAAATGGCACAAGTTAACATCCTATCACCTTCTCTATTTAACTTACTCTCTTAATTTTATCCCTCAGTCTCTGCACCACTAGACCAAGAAAGGAACAACTGAAGAAATTCCAGGAGCCGCTTCCCTTACCCTTGTCCCACTTGAGAAATAAAACAATGTGTTTTCGATGTCTCCATTATTCCAAGTGATGAAGTTTGAAATCACTGCAGGAATGTCAAAATACACTATTCTTCAGGAATCAGTAGTGTCATGCAAAAGGGAAAAAATAACCATCCCAATTTTTTGGTAGATGAATGAGATTTTCTAATACAGATTTACGTTCTAGAACAAGGCAAATGTTGAACAACATATCTCTTTAGTCAGGGCCATAGTAAAGGTAATCTGGTTTCTCTCTTTCTTTTTTCTTAAGATTTTATTTTTCCTTTTTCTCCCCAAAGCCCCCGGTACGTAGTTGTATATTTTTAGTTGTGGGTCCTTCTAGTTGTGGCATGTGGGACACCACCTCAGCATGGCTTGATGAGTGGTGCCATGTCCATGCCCAGGATCTGAACTGGTGAAACTCTGGGCCACCGAAGTGGAGTGTGTGAACTTAACCACTCGGCCATGGGCTGGCCCCTGGTTTCTCTTTTTAAAAAAGCCAAATTTTAGGAGTTTCTTTATACTTTTACATTATCTTTTTTTCGACTATTTTTCTCACCAAAAATGACACAAATTCTAGAATGAAGGCTAAATACAGTACCTGTATATCTAAATTTTTCTTTTTAAGGTGGAAGCTCTTCAATTTTTCTAGCATTATATCACTCACTTTCTCACTCTCTTTGAAATGTTCAGCATCAGGATTGGTGATGTCCTAAGGGTAACAGTTTGAGAAGTTATAGTAAAAATTTTCAGTAAAGCTAAAAGGAGGAAGGACAACACAAAAAAAGAAAATGACAGGCCAATATCACTGATGAACATCGATGCAAAAATCCTCAACAAAAAACTAGCAAATTGAATACAATGATACATTAAAAAGATCATACATGATGATCAAGTGGGTTTCAATCCAGGGATGCAGGGATGATTCAACATCCACAAATCTATTAACCTGATACACCACATTAACAAAATGATGAATAAAAATCACATGATCATCTCAATAGATGCAGAGAAAGCATATGACAAGATACAGCATTCATTTATGATAAAAACTCTAAATTAAATGGGTATAGAAGGAAAATACCTCAACATAATAAAGGCCATATATGGCAAAGCCATAGCAAATATCATTCTCAATGGAGAAAAACTAAAAGCTATCCCTCTAAGAACAGGAACCAGACAAGGATGCCCACTGTCACCACACATTTAACAAAGTATTGGAAGTCCTAGCCAGAGCAATCAGGCAAGAAAAAGAAATAAAAGGGATCCATATTGGAAAAGAAGAAGTGAAACTGTCACTCTTTGCAGACGACAGGATTTTATATCTAGAAAACCCTAAAGAATCCACTAAAAAACTTTTAGAAACAAATGAATACAGTCAAGTCGCGGGATACAAAATCAACATACCAAAATTGGTTGCGTTTCTATACACTAGCAACGAAGTAGCAGACAGAGAAATTAAGAATACAATCCCATTTACAATTGCAACAAAAAGAATAAAATACCTGGGAATAAACTTAACCAAAGAGGTGAAAGGTCTGTACACCGAAAACTATAAAACATTGTTGAAAGAAATCGAAGAAGACACAAAGAAATGGAAAGATATTCTGTGCTCTTCGATTGGAAGAACTGACATAGTTAAAATGTCCATGCTTCCTAAAGCAATCTATAGATTCAACGCAATCCCTATCAAAGTTCCAACAACATTTTTCACAGAAATAGAACAAAGAATCCTAAAATTTATATGGAACAACAAAAGACCCCAAATAACCAAAGGATTCCTGAGAAAAAAGAACAAAGCTGGAGGTATCACACTCCCTGATTTCAAAATATACTACAAAGCCATAGTAACCAAAATAGCATGGTACTGGCACAAACACACACACACAGATCAATGGACAGAATCAAGAGCCCAGAAATAAACCCTCACATTTATGGACAACCAATATTCGACAAGGGAGCCAAGAGCATATGATGGAGAAAGGAGAGTCTTTTCAATAAATGGTGTTGGGAAAACTGGACAGCCACTTGCAAAAGAATGAAAGTAGACCATTACCTTACACCGTGCACAAAAATCAACTCAAAATGGATTAAAGACTTGAATGTAAGACTCGAAAACATGAACCTTCTAGAAGAAAACATAGGCAGTAGGTTCTTTGACATCATTCTTAGCAGCATATTTTCAAGTACCATGTCTGACCGGGCAAGGGAAACAAAAGAAAAAATGAACAAATGGGACTACGTCAAACTAAAAAGCTTCTGCACAGCAAAGGAAACCATCAACAAAACAAAAAGACAACCTAACAATTGGGAGAAGATATTTGCAAACCATATATCAGACAAGGGGTTAATATCCAAAATATACAAAGAACTCATACATCTCAACAACAAAAAAACCAACAACCCAATTAAAAAACGGGCAAAAGATCTGAACAGAGATTTCTCCAAAGAAGATATATGGATGGCCAACAGGCATATGAAAAGATGCTCAACATCATTAGCTATCAGGGAAATGCAAATCAAAACTACAGCGAGGTATCACCTCACTCTGGTCAGAATGGCTATAATTAACAAGACAGGAAACAACAAATGTTGGAGAGCACGTGGAGAGAAGGGAACCCTTGTACACTGCGGGTGGGAGTGCAAACTGGTACAGCCACTATGGAAAGCAGTATGGAGTATCCTCAGAAAATTAAGGATAGATCTACCATATGATCCAGCTATCCCACTGCTGGGTATTTATCCAAAGAAATTGAAAACTCAAATGCATAAAGATACATGCACCCCTATGTTCACTGCAGCATTATACACAATAGCCAGGACATGGAAGCAACCCAGGTGCCCATCAAGGGACGAATGGATAAAGAAGATGTGGTATTTACACACGATGGATACTACTCAGCCATTAGAAATGATGAAATCTGGCCATTTGTGACAATATGGATGGTCCTTGAGGGTATTATGCTGAGTGAAATAAGTCAGAGGGAGAAAGTCAAATACCGTATGATCTCACTCATAAGTAGAAGATAAAAACAATGACAAACACACAGTAACAGAGATTGGATTGGTGATTACCATAGAGGAAGATGGGGGAGAGCAAAAGGGGTGACGAGGCTCACATGTGAAGTGATGGACTCTAATTAGTCTTTGGGTGGGGAACACGATGTAATCTACACAGAATTCGAAATATATTACAATGTACATCTGAAAGCTATATAATGTTATAATCCAATGTTACTTCAATTAAAAATAAATAAATGGGGGCTGGCCTGGTGACACAGCAGTTAAGTGCTCACGTTCCGCTTTTCATCGGCCCCGGGTTCTCCGGTTGGGATCCCGGGTGCAGACATGGCACCGCTTGGCAAAAAGCCATGCTGTGGTAGGCGTCCCACATATAAAGTTGAGGAAGATGGGCATGGATGTTAGCTCAGGGCCAGTCTTCCTCAGTAAAAAGAGGAGGATTGGCAGTAGTTAGCTCAGGGCTAATCTTCCTCAAAAAAAATAAATAAATAAATAAATAAAAGGAGGAAGGAAAAAACACAATGAAACAAATCTCCCTTCCACAATAAGTGCCCAAACCAAAGGAAGTAAAATAATATTGAACTCCATTCTTCAATTACTCATCATAAGACATCTTAATAAAGTGTTAGTGTAGAAAGAATTCATACAGATTCACACTTGTATATAAGCTGTTATCGGGACAGATTACTATAATGGCTGGGAAGTTAGTATTCATCTATAATAACTATACATGCTTACAGTCTTACATACATTCCCTCTTAGCCTAGTCAGCTTACAAATCCAAATTTTAGACAAACCGTTATACCTGACACCAGAACAATCAGACATCTTCAACAATACTGAAACTCTAGAAATTTCAAGGGTACCCAGAATGAAGGTACTAGTACCAGTATAACGTAAGGGTCAAAAGTGCATGCACTGGAGTCAGACTGCCTGGATTTCTATCTCAGTTCTGCCACTTAACCATATGTGAGACTTTGGACAAGAAACTCAACTATTCTAAGCCTAGGTTTTTCTGTGTTTAAAAAAAAGAAGCCTGACAATATAAAGAATGGTGTAAAGAGTGGATGAGATAATCCATGAAAAGCAGGGACAGTAAATTTAAATGCCTCCAAGGACAGGGTGGGAAGTCAGCGGACTGAGTGCCTATTGGGAGTCTGACCGTGTTAGGGAGAGGCAAACAGCATGCTGAGTCTCTGGTCTTGGGGGCTTCTGTTCCAGTGGGGATGGGAGAACAGAACAAGCAAACAGACAACATTTGTTTGGTGTGGGGTGAGATCTACTAAGAAGAGGGCTGATGACACACTCCATCATTCACGGGTCTGGTAGAGAAGCAGCAGCCAGCAGATAAGATTGAGAAAGAACAGCAGGCTCCAGTGAGACAGGAGAAAACCAAGCAAACGTGGTGAGTAAGCAAATGTTTGAAGCGGGAGGGTGGGGTAGAAAAGTCTGCAGCAAAGCAGAGTCGGTGCCACATTCAAATTCAAATATTTAAAAACAAAACTTTAGGTGGATACAGTCTGTGGTCCCCCACTTTGTGATCTCTGCATAAAATGCTTAGCCCTGGTTCTAGCATTTGGTAAATACTAGTGTTCAACAAATTTTAGCTGAAACAAAATAGAAATAAGGTTTGTGTTGGATCAGGAACGTCGCAACTCATGCCCCCAAATTTTGGCTCAGATGGCAGCAGTTAAGATCAAAGAATATACAATAATAGAAGGGAAGAGGAAGAAAGAGAGCTGGCTAAGCTAATTTGAGAAGCTATCAAGTGTCATGCCCTTTAATAGGTTCTCATTAAATGTAGCACTAGTAACTGCCCAGGGGCAGCAGCAAACATCTTTTCCCCCATTTAAGATGAGGAAACCAAGGCGGAGAAAGGAAAAGTTACTTGGCCAAGTCACACAGCCAGGAAGTGGTGAACACAGATTCAAACTCACGTGACTCTAACTTCATTTCTCATTCTACTCTTGTACACAGCTCCACACTGCCCTCCCCCTGCCCAACAGCTAGACTTTAGATTGGGTAAACAGCTCATTAATGAGAACAAGCCCTAATCACGAGGGGCAGACCGACCCAGAGCATGAGGCCAGTGCTCTGAGAGAGCTTTCCTGAAATGTGGGAAGTACCAGATGAAGGGTTTCACCTCATGTCTTTATTTTCTATCTTATTATAGACTTGTGGGAATTAGGTGTTGAAGAAAGATAAACAGAAAAAAGAAGGAGGAGGAAGGAAGGGCTGACCGGTTGGTTGAAGGGGCTGTATTTTGTTTTCCATTGTTTTTCTTCCATAACTTATATTGCCTCTTCTGGTTTAGTCCAACCTTGATATTTCTTCCATCCCAATAAAAAAATATGATTTTTTTTTTTTTTTTTAATTACCTGGCATGTAAGAAGTCCTACCACCAGAGCCAGAAGATTGCGAATTTTGGAGGCCAGCTGAGAAGTTATTTTCACATCTGGGGGATTCAGGCTCTCATCTTCACAAGGCGAGCGATTCAGGACCAAATTAGAATGTATTATCTTTGCATCCTACATGTACACAATTCAGATTTGTCACAATAAAGACAAAGAATCTGCATTACTTTTTAAGTAAAATGCTGAATAAAATGCCACTGTTAAAAACTCCGAGCAGTGGTTCTCAAACTTTTTGGTTCTCAGAAATCTCAGGGAAAAAAAAAAGATCAAGATCCCCACTTACAAAATCCTTTCTCAAAGGATGCTTCAGATGTCTGGTTATGAGTACCCACAAAATTCCCACATTAATTTTTGCCTCTTACAAAATAATCACAAGAGGCCAGAAATGGCTGTTCTTTAATGTGAGTACCCAAGAACCAAAGAAACTTCTCCAAACCTGTGGTGCATTTTCCATTCTCTCTCTCCATTTTTTTTTTGCTCAGAAAGATTTGCCCTGGGCTAACATCTGTCACCAATCTTCCTCTTTTTTTTGCTTGAGGAAGATTTGCCCTGAGCTAATATCTGTGCCAATCTTCCTCTATTTCGTATGCGGGTTCCCACCACAGCACAGCTGATGAGTGGTGTAGGTCCGCGCCCGGGATCTGAACCTGTGAACCAAGGCCGTGGAAGCAGAGTATGCCGAACTTAACCACTACACCACAGGGCTGGCCCATCTCTCCTTTTTTGTTAATAATTCTTTCTGCAAACAAATTTGTGTAAGTGCCATGCCTAAATATGCATCACCAGATTATTAGAAAGTCTTGAGATCCTGCATTAGAGATTCTGATTTGTGACAATACCTTTGTGATATCTGACTCCATCACATCCCCCAAGTGCTCCTTTAACTGAGCTATCGCAGATTTGGGGTAACTTTGCTCCTCAGTCCTTGCAACCTGATGCTGGAGTTTTGCATTTTCATTTTTGACTTCATCGATCTGCTGCTGAAGTTTTATATTCTCAGCCTTTTCACTTTCAGATATGAATTGCAAATTTTTAACTTGCACCACCAATTTCTCAAGGCTGGATTTCAGTTTCTGTCTTTCTTCCAGGTTTTTCTTTTCATGTTTCTGAAATTCTTCATGTAAAGACAGGAACTCTTGTTCTCGGGCCACTTTTTCCCTTTTCAACAAGTCCAAAGCACAAGTGGTGGCCTTTTTCAACTCTCCTTTGAGTAGCTGCAGCCTCTCTACCTCTTCTGCCTTCTGGCTTAAGGTTTTGTCCATCTCTACGCACTGACTTAGAGTTTTATTTTTTTGTTGCATTTCAGTCATGTACCTTTCCTGGAGACGAACATAATTGCCCTTCATCTTCTTAAGCTCTAGCTGTAAGGTTTCCTTTTCATTCCTAGATTCCTGAAGAAGTGTTTGGGTGTTAGCTAAAATCTCATGCAAATTCTGCAGTGTCTTGTCCATATCATTCTTCTCTAGCATGACTCTGTATTTTTCTTCAATTAATTCTTCGACTTTCTCCTTTAGCTTATTTATGATGTCAACGAACACTTGCTGTTTGGAAGTGTTCATCTGTAGCTCTTCAACCTTCCTCTCTAAATACATTTTACTACACTGTAGGTCTTGGATCAGAGTTTGCTGCTTTTTGTTAGTATGTTTTAATTTCCGTAAGACTTCATTTAAAGCCAAATCCTCTTCCAGAGGTTGTAAGCTTTCCAAGCTTTGCTCTGTGTCAGGTGTCCTGCAGTCCTCCTGAGATGCTCCATCACTCGAAGAAGCGCCTGCAGGAGACCCAGGTGAGGCAACCCCTGGACTGTCCACGCCCTCCACTGTTACTGCCTGTTGGTGACTGGCTGACGCCTTAGGAATATCCCCAGAATTCTGTATTCCTTTTGAAGAAAATGCAAGCTGTAAATCATAGTAAATAAAATAAGCATGAAAGAGTAGAAAGATGATGAACTTTGAAGTCAGACAGAGCTGGCCTTGAATCCTAGATCCCTAGTTTAGTTTCCTCAGCTATAAAAGAACAATGCTAATATCTACTACCAACAATAACACCTACTTAAAAAAATACTTAAGTATCAATTGCTAAATGTATGCACAGTGCCTACCAGCACAGCAGAGCACAAACAGTAGGTGGAGGGTAGAGATATGTATCACATTTACTGTCACAGAAGAAAAGTTAAACTTTGATACCCTCACCATTTCCTATGATGCAAACTTTTCTGAATACATATAAGATAGTTTCACCTCAAATAAATTAAAACAAACTTATCAATTACCCTACAGTCTGTGAGGCCTCTTTTGAATAAAGACTTTATTTCTCATTAAACCATTACCTCACTATGCTATGAATCCTCTCAGCCTTAGAATGTCAGATGAACATGCCTCACGATTGACTTTCTGTCCACAATACAGGTTTTGGGGGATTAAGAAAGGACAGTAAGTTGTAGTAAGAAAATACTGAAATGAATATGACATAAAAACCTCAGTAGGGGTGGGCTGTATAACTTTCTAGAATTTAAAGATACTGGACCCCTGTATTTTAACGGTTTTCATTGTTCTGGGATAAAGACAACTATCTTTGCTGGGGCCTACAAGGTCCTGATATCTGATCTTGATATCTGACCCATGCTACCTCTCCATCCTCATCTACTGCATCCCTCCTGCTCCCTTTAGCGCAGCAACACTGGGCTTCCTTCAGGTCTTGGTAGGTACCATTCTCCCTGCAGCCACAGGGTTTTTGCATATGTTGTTACTTCTGCATGGAATGCTTTCCCATCCACTGTAACCTAATTAACTCCTGCTCGTCCTTCGGAACTCAGCTCAATTCCCACCACTTCAGGGAAGCCTTCCTCAAACTCCCTGACCAGGACAGTAAGACCCCCATCTTACTTTTATTCACAGCACTTATCATAGTTGCAAGTTTATATGTAATTTTATACTACATTACATATACTTTACACACACTTTACATGCAACTTTTATTCACAGCATTTATCATAGTTGAAAGTTTACATTTATTTGCGTGATTATTTGTTTAAAGCCTATTTCCTCTACTAGGATATTATTTTCATAAGGACAAAAATCACATCTTTTTGTTTTTTAACCATTACATAACTAACACATAATACAGGGGATAGCACATAATAGATGCCTGAAGGTATTACTGACTGACTGAATAAATGACTAAATGCAATGGGAACAGGAAGGAATAATCTTGAGAAATCCTAATTAAACAGTTTTAAATGTCATTTTCCAGAAATCAACATAGAGAAATAAAGTTCTCTTTTAAATGCTTCTTCCAAATAAATGAACAAAAGATTGCTCATATTTGTAAATGAAACATAATGGCCATATCTCTTCTCATCAAACTCATAATGAAAAGGTATTATTTATGCTATTCTTGAATGATTTCATTTGCCCACACTAATTCTTAAAATTTTTATTTTTTTGTTCAGAGAGTATATAGAATTTACACAGTTGGCATCTTCAGAGCTCTTAGGATATGACATGCATGCCCAGAATTAATAAATCAAAAGGCAATTTAAGGGCCAGCCCCAGTGGCCTAGTGGTTAAGTTCAGTGAGCACCACTTCAGCAGCCTGGTTTGGTTCCCAGGCACGGACCTACACCACTCTGTTAGTGGCCACGCTGTGTTGGTTGCCCACGTACTAAAAGAATAAAACAGAGGAAGATTGGCACAGATGTTAGCTCAGGACAAATCTTCCTCAGACAAAAAAAAAAAAAAAGATAATTTAATGTTTTCACTTTGGTAGGAAAGTAAATATTTTTTGCTTGTCAATAGGAACCCCATGATTAAAAAAAACTTGATTTTTTGGTCAAATAATTTAATTAATACCCCTGTACTTCTTCCTCTTCTCAACCCCCTGCTTCAATTTGATTCACAAAATATAAAAGCTTATTATATTCAAGGCACTGTGTAGATGCTAAGGTGTATAAAAGGATGAGTAAGACAGAGCCCTGATCCTCACAGACATTAGCATTTGGTAGAGCTAATCTCCAAGTATGGACTTGATTTTACTAGAAAACTTTGTTTTTAAATTGATTAAGATCTCGGAAGGCATTTTCCACAGAGAAGCAATGTCCTTTGTACTAATTAGACGATTTAGCACTACTTGGAAAAGTCTCAGTTCATATACATTTAAAAAACGCACATACACACACCCTTTAATACTCTACAGCCTGTACTGACCGTCAGAAAATCTTACCTCCTCTGTTTTATAACTAGCTCTCAGATCAAGCAGGTTAAAGTTATTCTCTTTATAAAATGGTTTTTCAACATCACTGTGTACATTTTCCTTACACAAGAAACTTTGAGGTTGACCAGTGTTGAGGGCAGATTCCGCGGGAGTACTTTCAGCCAGTGACATTTCCGTGAATTTCAGCGTCTCTCCATTGCAGTGGATTGGAGGCGGGCTTCTAGGAGGTTGTCTGACACACTCATGAGCAAGCTGCTCTTTATTTGTGGAAGTGCTAGTTCCCTTTGGATTTTCTTCCTTAAATGGACCTTCCTTTCTATTGGTGTCTTTTGCATAATTATATACTTGACTTTGCAATTCTGGCTTCTCCGTGTAAGGTAAGCCTTCTGTCAGATTTTGAAATGTTATCATTTCATTATTAAATGCTTCTGTCTGATGAAGTTTACAAGTGGGTTCAAACTGTCTGAAGGAAGAAATGCTGGTGTCAATCGGCTGAGTTGGTACATTCTGTGAGTAATTTCCAATGTGGACATCTCATTAGAAGGAGAAAGATGGAAATAAGAATTAGCTGACCATAAAGTTACGTGCTTTTATATTCAGACTTATGAAATAAACTCTTAGAGACTTTTAAGAATTATATATATTTCAACCTTTTTTGCTGAGTGGATTTTAGCATGGCATTGTGCTAATAAACAAAACTTTTTCATGGGGGAAAGTTCTCAAATACTGCTACAAAAGGCTTGTTATATATTATCCTGTCCAAATACCATTATAACAAATTCCAAGATACCTTCAAAATTCTTTTGCTGCACTGTAATTTTAAAATGTTTTTATTATAAAATGTGTCAAAAGAATACAAAAGCACAGTGAATAGTATAATAGCAAACACACATAAACTTGCTTAATCTCACAACGATCCCAGGAGCTAGGTAATGTTATTATCCCTGTTTTACAGATAAGGAAACTGAGACATAAGAGATGTTAAGCTACTTGCCTAAGGTCACAGAGAGGGTAAGCAGTGCAGCTGAGATTCTAGAATGCTATTCCTAAATGCTATGCTACACTGTTTCTCAATATGACAAATTACCCAGATTTAAGATGTTTAAAAAAATCAAAAACACATAAGGCAAAAGGGAAAACAGTAAAGTGTTACAAAATTAATTCATGACCCTTCCCTTCTATCTAAATTCCCTTCTTTGCCCCTCCCCAGAGATAACTACAGTACTGAAGCCGGCATGTATTCATTATTCCCATCCATATTTTTCTACTGTTACTCTCATTTATGGACCCTAAATAATATAGATCAAGTTCCCAGACTTTCTCATTTTGTGACACCTCAATATCTCAGTAATTTTTTTCACAGCACCTCTGGACCAAAAGAAATACCTAACAGTTCCATTTATTAAGTAGTTGAGCTCAAACAACTTAATAAGAATTTGTCCCAACAACTTAGCAACTGTTTGAAAATATACATAAGCTGAAATAAAAATATTTTATTTCATCCTTAAACAACCAAACTTACTTGCTACTTGGATGCATTATCTGGCACCACACAATGTCTCAAACCTTGGAATCAGATTGGACAACACCAACCCTCACGTCCTTTCCACACAGATTTTCACGCACGACTTACTTTTTATCACAGCAATCTCCAAAAACCCAGCTTTGCAAATGAGATGTGATAGAAAGGTTTGTAGTACGGATTTATACTGAAAGAGTGAACTGTCTCAAGCTCGTAATTTCTGGGGTCCAGTGGATCCTGTATCACTCTTTCCTTCAAATTTCAAAATATCCTGCAGCACCCTGGGTGAACTGTGGATATATAGTATTGTTTTCTGTGTTTTAAATTTTATGTAAATAGCATCATAGATATATATATCCATATGAAAGTCTTTATTTCACTTAATATTTTGCTCTTCAGACTTAGCCATGTAAATACATGTAGGTCTTCCAGCCTCTAGAATTGTGAGAAAATGAATTTCTGTTGTTGAAGCGATCCAGCCTGTGGTATTTGTTATGGCAGCTCGAGCAGACTAATATACATACTTTGCCTGTTTTGCTGTTATGTGTCTTTTTCTTATTGAAGTTCTTTATTTTGGCTAACAATCCTTTGTCAATCACATATATGCATGTATCTTCTCTCAGTCTGCGGCTTATTTTTTTTTACTTTGTTGATTATGATTTGGTTATATAGAAGTTTTAAAAAAAATTTTAATGTAGTTGAATATGTTGATTATGGCTTGTATATCTTATGTTACTCTCTGAGTCTCACTTTTTTATCAGTAACATAGAGATAAAAAACAGCCCTTATTTAAAAAGAAAAAAAGCCCTATTTCATAGAATTGTTTGTGGGTTAAATGTGATGGTGTATATAAAATGCTTACACAGTACCTGGCTATTATTCTTATTGTTATTATCATAGGACACAAAAAAATCTTAGTTTGTCTCTTTGCATACTGCCAACAAAGAGATACTCACCACCTAACAAATCGTCTAGCGTGCTATAAATTTCTTCAGAAAGTGTGAATTTGGACTCATTTTCCCTTTTTACATTCTTTATTTCATTCTGTATTAATAATAAAAAAGGCATTAATATTTAAAACATCATAAGCCTCTTCTAAAGGTGTATGTACATTGCTATATAATTTTTCTGTTAGTATTTTTTGTTGTACAGGTAGAATGGGCTTCCCAGTATCTTTGCCTGCTGTATATCTGAACTCCCTTTTAATAAAACCACACTAATAGTCAAGATATTAAATGACAAACAAATATCTGGCTATTTTAAATTTTGGTCTTTTGGCAATTCAAATAATGTTAGTATAAACCTATATACAATAACCTATATACCTCTTACTGATAATTCTTTCACGTTTGTTAAACCTGACCTAAACATTAGGGTAGTTGTTATTCTAGTCTTTTAACACTAAAGATAGATAAAATAGGGTCCCAGTAACAACGTGAAATCTGATTCCACTACATACAAATCTATAAAAATTCATGTAGAGCTTATTCTCAAAGTTACCTTAATGCATCTAAGATGAAAGGGTTAATAAGTTAACAGTACAAATAAGCTAGTAAGGGGGGCCCACCCTGTGGTGCAGTGGCTAAGTGCACATGTTCCACTTTGGCAGCCCAGGGTTCACTGTTCGGATCCCAGGTGCAGACATGGCACCGCTCATCCAGCCATGCTGTGGCAGGCATCCCACATATAAAAATAGAGGAAGATGCGCACGGATGTTAGCTCAGGGCCAATCTTCCTCAGCAAAAAGAGGGAATTGGCGGCAGATGTTAGCTCAGGGCTAATCTTACTCCGGAAAAAAATATATATATACACACTAAGGAAAATATTTTAAATGTTTGAGGAAAACAATGGTTTAATCATGAATAGTATATCAACTATGTGGATCTAAATGATGCTCTAAAAAAATCCTTCTCTCTCATTAAAGTCAATTGGTTACAAACCTCTACTCAATAATGTTTTACAGCATTGTTCCACTTATTGAATGCACTTGAAATACAATAAAAACCGAGTTATATTTTATAACAATCTGTTTTTAGACTTGTTGCTAATTCAGATTATTCCTCCTAATGACATTTAAAAAGTATCAAGAACAATCTGCTTGAAAAATAGAACAGCACTGTTCACACGTATTGGTGTTACATTTACACAAATTCTTGGGACTCACTACTGATTTTCAGAGGTAACTTCTAGCTCTAGTCTCCTATGATATTACTCTTTTTCACTAAAATATGCCTTTTGTTCCTTTGGTCTATAAATTTTTTATTAAGAATAAAATGCTCACTGAAATCCAAGAGGGAGGACCTCCTTACATAATTAAGACATTCCTTTTTTACAATTTACTACACAGTATCTGGGACCCTGATAATACCACACTGTAATACTACACTGATAATGCTAATGATACACTGTGATAATACTATAACCAATTTTTTTAAAAGTGAAAATAGTTTTGGGGCTGGCCCCGTGGCTGAGTGGTTAAGTTCGCGCGCTCCGCTGCAGGCAGCCCAGTGTTTCGTTGGTTCGAATCCTGGGCGTGGACGTGGCACTGCTCATCAAGCCACGCTGAGGCGGCGTCCCACATGCCACAACTAGAAGGACCCACAACAGAGAACATACAACTATGTACTGGCGGGCTTTGGGGAGAAAAAGGAAAAAATAAAATCTTACCAAAAAAAAGTGAAAATAGTTTTTCATAAATATAAAAAAGAATTTTGAATACTTTTGAAAAAGAGAAAGTAGAAAACACTCCAAAGCCCACTACCTAGTGAGAAGCAGTGTGAACCTTTTCCATGTCAACAAATATGTGTGTTATCATATTCAAGGTTTACATATCCACTGTACATCTGAACAATAATTTAACTAGGCCCCTACTGATGAAAACATGGGTTGTTTCAGTGTTCAGTTATTATGCATAATTCAGCAAAGATCTCATTTGTATACTTCCTAGAGGTAGAATTAAAAACAAACTAGGCAGTTAAACTCTTGATTTCCTATCACTGAACAGCCCTTTAGAAAGGTTATGCCAATTTATGGGCTGAACCATATGAAGTTGCCAATATTTGTCCATTTTTGAACTACAAAAAGGCAATTTCATATGGCACAACCTAATACATTCCTATTATTTTCCTACACTCTTGCTAATAATTATCAAACATTGGAACAACGTTCATGATCTTGGAACATTACAATCTCTTTTATTTTGTAAGAAAGGGCACTAGGAATTTCCATGAAGGTAGGAAGGAAGTCATTTACATGTAGGGCACTGTATCATTATGAATGACATTTGAATCCTTTCCATACTGACGTGGTGGAAGATGCTCTAGGCTAGATGTCAGGTCCCTTGGGCTCTTGTCCTGTCAGTGACTGAGCTGTTGTGACCATGTCCCTGGCTGCACTCTTGGGACTTCTCGAGGAGGACAGGATCGGTTTTAACACTCTATCTGTAAAATTCTACCTTCCTTTGTACACTAATGGAACTGGGAAAACCAGACCCTGTATTCCCCTCCTCTATGCCTCCACTGGAAATCTTTTTATTGTTCCTCATATTTTTGAAGAAATTTTCACATGGAAGACAATGTGAAGGCTGAATACATCTGTACCTCCCAGAACTTGTAAGCCATGCACACCTGAGGCCAGTCTGAAGTGGTACTGCTGGTTTCCATAAAGAAGGGAGAACTTGAGTGAGTGAAGCCTTGAGAAAAACTGCTGAAATTCATGGCATCCGCTTCTGACATGCTTTCTAATTTTTCAGGAGATGCTTCCAGTTCAAAATGTACAGGATCTGAAGGTGATCCCCAAACTTTCTGACAGTCCTTGTTCCTATCTGTTGAATGATGGAAGGCCTCTTTAAAAAAACATAATTTTAATGTCTATTAGCATACGCAAACAAAAAACTTTTTTCCTTATCCCTCCTCACATTGGAAAAGCAGCAAAGTTCATTGTCCTAGACTTTAAAATGTCATTTGTCAAGTTATTGGAAAAATAAAAGATTTTAGTCTCAGTCTACCAAGGTAACTTTGTATGGTAGTAAATACTAATTTGGATAACAAGAAGTCAATATGTTTGGCTATTATCTAATAATTCCCCCAAAATCCTGGGACTCAAAAGGTGAAGTGATCTCTTAGTTAATTAATCAGAAGATATTTACAAAATATTATCAGAGGGGCTGGCCCGGTGGCGTAGTGGTTAAGTTTGCACACTCAGCTTCGGCGGCCCAGTACTTGCAGGTTTGGATCCTGGGCGTGGTGCTAGCACTGCTCATTGAGCCATGCTGTGGCAGCATCCCACATAAAATGCAGGAAGATTGGCACAGATGTTAGCTCAGGGTCACTCTTCCTCACACACACACAAATTATCAGAGACCTATTAGATTCCACAAAACACTGTACTTCTATTTACTTGATACTTTCATTCAAATATCTCATTACCAAGTCAAATCCAACATCGTAAATCAGTTTTCCCTCACTTTCCTATGCCATACCTATTCTCTCAGGCACTTGGGTTTGAAAACTTGGAGATGTCTTTGGCATCCCTCTACCTCATCATCTGTGGGCTGCTCAGTTACCGAGTCCTGTCCATCTCTCCTCCAAAAATGTTTTTCATAACCCATGCTTTCTTCCCATCCCTATGTCATCACACTGGTCTGCAGTCTCCTGACGTCCTCAGGTCTGTCAGGGGATGGGAGTGGAAAGGACATCCAATCACACTGAATTCAAATTCTTCCGCTTGACTCTCTAAGTCTTTCACAGCCGGAACCTGTTACCCACGCAGCACTCGCCTGTTCTAGTCACATCAGGCCCACCTCCCTGCAAACAAATCATGCTCCTCACCACGTCAGTAGTCTGCCGTGGCAGGTGCTTCTCTCCTAAAACATTCCTATTTACCCAATCGCTACTTTTAAAATTCCTACGCTGTCTTTAACCCAACTATCTATCTTGCATTTCAGCACCTATTCATTTTACCACTTTAGCCTTCACCATTGTGTCCAAGGTGTTAGTGTATTTACAAATACCTCTAGAAAAGTCCACTTATGGCTTTTCAACAACCCTTACAGCAAATGGACCAGCGCTGTTCACAGAGCAAATACTGATTGAATAAATCCTGCATTCCAATGATTTATTTCTATCAAAACTTCTCAATCTATAGTCACTACCTATTTGCCTGGATTATTTTATTGAATTACTGAATAAATAAATTATTGCGGTTTAATTCTTTTCAAAGCTATGTCATCATTCAGTAAAGTATAAAAAAGCCAGTGCGGGGCTGGCCTGGAGTGGTTAGGTTCTCGTGCTCCGTTTTGGTGCCCCAGGATTTCCCCGGGTCAGATCCAGGAGGCAGACACGGCATCGCTCATCCAGCCACGCTGAGGCAGAGTCCCACATAGCACCACCAGACGGACCTACAGCTAGAATATACAACTATGTACTGGGGGGCTTTGGGGAGAAGAAAAAAAAGAAGATTGGCAGCAGATGTTAGGTCAGGTGCCAATGTTTAAAAAAAGAGAGAGAGAGAGAAAGAAAGAGCCACACTTGTTAGGCTTCTATGTGTATTAAAAAAAGAAGAAAAACCCCCAGCGAGCCAAGCAGGCTAGCCAGGATTGGTGAAATGCCTCACTCTAGGCTCTCCTCCTCCATCTTCCAAACACGTAAATGCTGCCTGGGTTGTGCTGAACGGGATCTGAAAGATCCTCGTTTCGTTTTTCCAAATGCAAAAAAACGCAAGGGCCTTATTCCTTAAATGTTAAACCCAGAATGTCCAATTACACTTTTACAACTTTGTTCATGTGGCACAATCTGCCAACTTAGGTTTTTTTTAAGTTAGGCTCACTTTCATTCTGTCCTTACCAGATCGATGCTAGCCTTTTACAATATTCAAATGCTTGGGCAGATATTCCAGGGACACTCGAACGCTGTTTTAAGATTGGCGTTAAAACAGATGTCACTGGAGTTACGGGCAAAAATTCTAAGGTTTTGTTTTTAAAATCTTTTCAATCGTATGTCAACCTTTAACTTTTAAAAGCAGTTATCTTATTTTCACCACAGAACAACGCACACAAAATAAGAGAGACTGTAATGTCCCAAGAGCTTCACGTCTTTTTAACGTTTTAAGCCGCAGAGGTGTGCTCACGTCCAGGGTCCATGGAGCTGCGCGGAGCCCCGGAAGGGGCGCGAGCCCTGGCTGCACCGGTTCCGCGGGAGGAAGGCGGCGCTTCCACCCTCTCACGCGGACCCGGGACGACGCGGCGGGGCGGCGGACGCACTGGAACGTCCTGTGTGACGTCCGCGCCCCGCCCCCGCGGCTCGCCACTTCGAAGCCTCTGTTCCAGCGCCGGGGAGTTACGTGGGTGTGAGCCCCCGGGCCCGACAGCCTGTGGGCAGCTGCCGCGTCCTGCTGCGGAAGGAAACACGAAGCGGGCTGCGGAGACCAAGAGCTCCGGGCGGAGCGGCCGGCACAGGCTCAGCGGGGCAGGCGACTCACGGCAGCCCAACACTTCGACGCGTCCCTCCGGCGCACCATCGGCGCCGGCTCCGGGCGCGCGGCCCGGCGCAGGGGCGGGACTTCCGGTAGGGCGGGACTTCCGGCAGGGCGGGTCGGGAGGCCGGGGCTGTTGGTACAGCTCCTCGGTGGCACGTGGCGCGTGTTTTTGGCGTGGGGGCTTCTCAGCGGTTTGCGAGGCCACACATCCACACAGAGGCCGTCGGGTCGGCCGCGGGGGCACCGTCTCCGTGCGGCTCCTGTCTCGGCGCTGGGTGGGCGGCCTCCGCGGGTGGCGAGGCTCGGCGCGCGTCCGTCATGGACTACCGGCGGCTGCTGATGAGTCAGGTGGTTCCCGGGCAGTTCGACGACGCGGACTCCTCCGACAGGTAGGCGGCCGTGGAGGACCCCGGCGCTCCGGATTCTGCTCTCGCCGCCGCCCCGGTGGGGAGTTGACGCTTGTTAGTGGTGCAGAGGGAGACTGTAGTTCATCACTCGGGGGCGCGCCTCAGAGCCTTGGAGTCGTTCTGCATCGCAGCTGGGCCCTTGGTCCTGGGGTACGGCACAGTTAACGAGCGCCTCTGGTCTAGGGAGTCCGGGGTTCCCACGTGGTTAGCGTCGCCGAGAGACAGGGTTGGGGACAGCCATTGGGAAACATAGGTTTTGCGCTTTATATTCAGCATTCAAGAAATATTTATTGAGCGCCCACTGTGTGCCAGATTGTGTCCTGGGCGCTGTAGAAAGTGATGCACAACACAAACTGAGTCTCAGCTGTGATTGAACTTTTCCTTCTCTGCTTGAGAGGGAGGGCAGACAAGTATATAGAGATTTAAAAAACAAAAAAGGATAATGATATATACTATGCAAATAACTAAAATCGGTTGATATGCCAAGTGAATATGGTCAGGGAAGGTTAAGTCCAGATCTCAATGACAAGAAGGAGCTAACCTCAGGAAGAGCAGAGGGAACAGCATTTCAGGCAGAGGGAACAGCAAGCGAAGAGGCTCAACGGTGGAATCCCTCTTGGCTGTGAAAGGAAGATCTAGAGGGCAGTGTGCCTGCAGCACAGTGGAGGTAGTTGAGAAACTCAGTAGGTAATGATACAGAAGTGCTTCTCAGGGGCCGTGACATGTAGAGGCTGACAAGTGGTGGTGAGGAGTTGAGGTGTTATTCTAGGTCTTAGAGGAAATCATAGGGGGATTTTAGCAGAGGAATTACGTCATCAGATTTACGGTTTAAAGGAATTATTCTGCTATGGAGAGGATGGTTTCGGAGGGCAGGAATGGAAGCAGAGACTAGTTCAAAAGTACTGAAGTCATCAGCTCAGAGATTGTGGGAGCTTGAGACAGAGGCATAAGGATATGTTTTGGGGGAAGAAGTGACAGGATTTGGCGGTGGATTGAGAAAATAGTTTGTGCTTTTTGTTTATGGTAAGGACTTGTTACATAGATTTTATTAGTCAGTTGGGGGTTTTTTCAATAGCTGTATGTTGATGCCTTTCTGTGTGTCAGATCTGGTGTTAGTTGGTAGGGATACATTGGTAAACACCACCCTGATTGACCTGAAACTTGCCCTCTAGCAAGGGGAACATGTTAAGTCTAATTAAGACAAGTTACTTGTATTAGAATTGGGTAAATAGTATAAAGGAGAAATGGGGGAAGAATAGGGAAGACCTCCCTGAGTGAGTGATGGTAAGCTAATACTGGAAGGGGGAGTAAAAATGAGAAGGGCATTCCAGGTTTATGTTTACAGATGAGCATGCAGAAGGCCTTAGGGAAGAAGTTAAGTGGAAAGGAGAGACAGCCAGTGTGGCTGGTGAATGGTTTAATGACAATGAGTGCCCTGGTTTACCATCCATCACTGGATGTAGTGAGGATAAACCGAGGACTTTGCCCCTCCTCCCCCACTCCAGGAGATTTTTGGCAATCTCGAGACGTTTTGCTTGTCACTGCTAAGGGTGGTGGTACACTAGTGGCATCTGGTAGATAGGGCCGGAGATGCTGCTGCGCATCCTGCAGTGCACAAGACAACCTCCCGCAGCAAAGGACTGTTTGGCTGAGGTTGAGAAGTCCTGGTACAAATGAAGATGTCACTTTAACCTGCCCACCTAGGCTTTTGGCAATTGAAGGATCAATTTATTGATTATGTTTATGAAATCCTAGTAAATAGCAGGTGTTTAATGATTGTTTTTTCTCTTCTTACCCATATCCATGGAGATTTGGAGCCCTCTAAACTGTGGCTAATTAATAAGTCTGGATTGATATCTGAATTTGCTTAAACTCGTGTCTGACTGTTTTTAAGCCTGTAGTGCATATTATTGGTTGTTTTATAGACAGTTTCTGTCCTTATTCTCTACATTAGAGGTCAAAACTGGTAGTACCTCTCTTGAATTTGGCCTGCAGATATGTTTTGTTGGTAGGCACAGTGTTTTATGTAAATTGAACATTCCAGTTAAGTGGGAGATTTTATACAAATATCCAGATTTCTGGCTTTTCTTGAAAAACTGCAAAGACCTGATAATATTGGGTCTGAATTCTCACATGGCAAAAAAAGACCCTATTAGTTGTGCTGCCATTTCCCTGGGCCTGTTCTCTCGGTTTGACAATCCCCACTTGTCCTGTTTTCTTTGACCAAGCCTGCTTCACCCAGCTGTGGTGCTCGTGTTCGCTACTCCTTCTCTTTATGAACAAGAGTGGTTTGAAGTTCTTGGTGTAACACAAACCTTGATATAGTTTCCTTTGTTGGAAAATAATGTTGAGTTCAAAATAAGGCTGCTTTAGATTTATTCCCAAGTTTTGTCAGAAAGTTTTTTTTTTTCCTCTTAAACCAGCTCAGTGAAGTTTTCCTTGAATCAGTTCATTCTGCAGAGAAGGTAACTATATCAATTCTAACCTCACTGAGGCAGAAGCGGATTTCACACCCTCATGTACTTCTTCCTTAGTTGGACCTGGAGAATAAGCAAACAACTCCAACAGAACTCTGAAAAACTGGGGAATTTGGTATTAAGTAGATTAAGCTTATTGGGAGATTTGTTGTAAGGGAAGCTTTTAGATTTGTCGGTATAGGTTTAATGTTATATCATAAATAAATACCTATGTTTGTCCAATTAGAGTATGTGTAAACACGCTGAAACCTTGTTCTTTCTAGTGAAAACATTGATTTGAAGATAATCAAAGAGGAAGATGACTTTGTGTTTGAAGACCTTCAAAATAATGTGAATGAGAAGATGGGTGACGGTGAGATAGAAGATGAGGAGGAGGAAGAGGATTATGATGACGATGACTGGGACTGGGATGATGGCATTGGAAAACTCACCAAGGGTTTTACCTTGAATGGAGGGAGTAACCCACAGGTATTTTATAAATGATTCTATGCATCTTTGTGTTGTTTGCTTATATCTTATTTTTTAAAAGGACCTTTTGTGGTTCTGGAATTGAATAACTGAAAGATTTTCCTCAGGTAATATAGTCCTGTAGTTCCAGCCTTTAGTGATTTTCATTCTTTGACCTTTCCATATTTCTGATAATTTCCCGGAGGTGGATTCTTTCCATAATCAATTTAAAAAGTTATTTAAATTATCATAAGATTATGAGCTTTAAAATCTGCATGGAAAAGGATATGAGTAGACAATTTACTACAAAAGGTTAAGAAACATGGAGGAAAAGTTCAGCCTCATTAATAATTGAAGAAGTGCAGATTAGGTTTGTAGAGATGCCATTTTTTCCACCTACGAAACTGACAAAGGCACAAAATATATAGTTGGTGGTCAAGTAAGTAGGTACAATTATTTGGAGGATAAACCTCCAAGATTTGGTAAATGTAAAAGCTTTAAAAACTTATAAAATAAACACTCTGACTCAGCAATTCTTCTATGAGTGTGCCAGGACTTAGTTACAAGAATGATCCTCCACTCTTGTTTGTAGTAGAGGAACATGGGAAAGAACTTTGATTAAATTTACCGTGGGACTGATTTCACATAATAGCCTATTATTCAGCTATAAAATATGTTGCAAAGGAAGGCTGTATTAATGACATGGAGATAGGTTCTCATCTCCCGTCATCTACCGTGTGCAAAACGCAAGTTAGCAGACTGTGTGGCGCCGCCTCCTCACACTGGAAGGGCTAAGTGTGTCAGGAGTCAGAGCCACAGGATTAACATGGTACATCCTCCTGGATAAAGGTTCCTCAAGGTATGCAGAGGAAAAACTTACAGTGTTCCTTTGAATATTAAGATAGCTATAACGTGGACTGGAATGCAGACGTTTATAAAATAACCAAATGAATTTCACGCTTCTGGTCTTGTTTTGGTAACCTGTTGATTCATTGATGAGACTTTGAGCAGTTTCAACATAGGATGTAATCCCTTTTCTTTCGTTCTTTTTTTTTTTTTTGAGGAAGATTAGCCCTGAGCTAACTACCACCAATCCTTCTCTTTTTGCTGAGTAAGACTGGCCCTGAGCTAACATCCATGCCCATCTTCCTCTACTTTATATGTGGGACGCCTACCACAGCATGGTTTTTGCCAAGCGGTGTCATGTCTGCACCTGGGATCCTAACCAGCGAATCCCGGGCTGCTGACAAGCAGAATGTGCGAACTTAACTGCTGCACCACCCGGCTGGCCCCCAATGTAATCCATTTTAATAAAGCTAGAAAAAAAAAGACAAAGTTTATTTGTTT